ACTCAGCATAATTTCAAATCTGTAACAAGCTGCTCGGTGCAGAAGATTGCTGTGACATGCTTCATCTAGGGGAGAGAGGAATAAATCCCTTGGTGCAATCGGGTTCTGTTCTGAGAGTGAAGAAAGAGCCGATAGGATTCACACCACAGCACCCATCTCCATGTCGAAGGCAGCAGCCCGGCCAAGCACCTGCAGCAGGTGAGGCTTTGTACCTGCTATCACATCCACCAGCGCTAAATACCTGCCATGACGTGGGCTCTAAGCCAGTCCCCGAGGTAAGATTGCTTCTTACCCCAATCCTCTTCCTATTTGCTGTGCCTCGCCTTCCCATCCCTCAAATCCAAGATTCCCCATGCACCGTAACGCAGCCAAAGAGGAACGGGCTTAGTGGTTTTATCAGGTTTGATCGTTAAGTGTTTGCTTTTTTCTTTTTCGTGGCAGTACAATAAATACATCCAGATGCCTGGACTGTTTCTCCTGCCACAATAACCCTAAGGAGCCTCTAGTCAGAAAAAAAAAAATTAAAAAGGGAAAAAAAAAAAAAAAGTTGAATGAACAGAGTGTTTCGCCACAAGGACTTTGTACAGTGTCTATACACAGTGAAACCTCTTTCGTAATCTGAGACACCGGGTATCTCAATATTTGCACTAAATATTTGGTTTCTACTTCTACTTCTGTTTCCTACTAAAACTGAGTAAAACAAGCTCCCATATACAGCTTTAATTTATGCTGATTCAAGTTTTAAGGCAATTGGCACCGAAGTCGACACTAAAGGCGTTCCCGTCATGCCAACAGGCACCTACCACAAAAAGGCAGCAAAGTTAATCCCCACCTGTACCACTGGTCCCGACTGCGGGCTCGCCAGCCTTTCGCCCCCACATGATCACCCCGCAGTAAGAACGACTCGCAGCCAGAAGCACGAAAGCGCACACCTGGCGCTCAGGAAGTGGATGTGGAAAAGGCCAGCTCTGAAGAGAACTGGAGGATTCGGAAGCGAGGACGAGGAAGGTCGCTGACACTCCATAACCCCGACAAGGTTGTAGGAACGTTACAGGGGTCAATGCCTCACACCCACCTCGTGGTAACTGATTAAAGCTGAAGCTTACGCCTCAGCATGGATTCCCACCTCACTCGCATCTTCGGATAAATACAACATTCTCGGCAGCACGCGGCGAGAACTGTCCAATGGAACTCCGTGAGAACGGCAAAAAGCTGGTGAAGTGTTACAGGTGCAGCTGGTTGAACTTCTGCATGTGAGGTTCCAAATCTTTTTTACACACACAGAGATACAATTTTTAAAATGTCTCCTCCTTCAATCTTTTTTTTTGAAATAAGAATGACCCAGCCTGATCGATAAATTTGAAAGGCACGCTTCAAACCAGACAAAAAAAGGATTAGAAACTTGGCTGGGACATCATCTTTCCCCCTCGCACGCAAGCAGCGCGTTGGCACACGTGAAGCGAAGCTTTTTATCACCGAGGGAGGTTTTGCAATGTTTGCTAAAGAAGGTCACACACTGGATGTATCTGCTCTGCCTGCGAGGCCACCCCACAGCCTGAGCCCTCACTGTAATGAAAACAAAAAACCAATCGACCAACCAAAAAAAGTCACAGCTCTCTCACCCTAGTAAGATGAAGTTCCCTGCCTTATGTTCTCGCTTAAGAAAAGTCACGTTTAAAGTAAAATACTTACATTTTTTAGGGATTTAAACCAAAGAACGACAACAGAAAGAGCAAGAACAAGGGAGAGCAGAGGCAAAGAGTGAGTCTTAGTTCCAAAAGCCCCGAGAGCCGCACTCTCCTCTCAATTTACAAACATTGGAGAAACTAGTTACGAAAAAAATTTCGCATTCCTTGTCTTCCCTCCAGAGCTACGCTTCAGAGAAATGAAAGCACACTAATAATTTTCATGACTGAAAACTCCACGTATTTGTTCATATCTGATAAAATAATTCCACCATTCTACCACCCGAGTCATACTTGATGGGATCAGGGAAAAATTGCAGTTTCCCATTTCATTTGTAATCAAAGCAGGAAGTCAGCCATCCTTTATTCTGTACAAAATTCTGTGTACTTTTACAGCAGCATGTAAGTAGTCTAAGACTAAGGAAAATCTCTAAAGAAAGGTAATTGTGGAAAGTAACTTTTAATTTCCAGGTTTTTAACATTTTAATTTTAAATACTATTATGAATAACTGCAATAACTGAAGTGCCCAAAGAGTTTTCTTGAAAACATTAATTCTTTTGTCCCCCAAACTATGTTTCTCTCGAACTTAAGAAAGGCTGAGTTAAACATCCTGAACATGCATAGTTTTTGTACCTTGAATTGTTTCAGTATAAAACAAAGCTATCAACGTTAAGGCTGAGGGAACAAGCTAAAAATACACCACGTTGTTTAAAAGCCCCTGAACATAATCATTCGGCACTTCCCCTCCATCTGAATGGAGGAGGAAAAACCAAGAATCAAAACAGAAACAGGAAATTCCTACAGCACAAACATGCAGGAAAGCACTAAACCCATTTTCTTTACATTTGTTTATGTCAAAAGGATCAAGCGAAACAAAAGATAGATAGCTGCAAGTTTTTGCACTTCTACAAATAAAACCCAAAAGATGAAGAAGGTTTTTTGTTGATGAACACGGCTGTACATATCCTAGGCATTCCTTCCAGCGCAGGCTGAAAACTACCACCAAATCAGCGACAAGCTCAGCAATAAGCTGAGCCTTAGCCTCGGTATCACCTCAGAAAGACGCTGCAGAACCCCAGGAGCTGCCCTGCAGCCCGGGAGATATCCGATCTCCATGTGTCCAACCCGGGAACTGTTACTTCTTCATCACTTCGTCCCACAGACTCGCACGCACTAAGCACAGGTAACTGCAGAACGTCTTTAACGGAGATTTCCTGAAGGCAGAACGAGGCCTGAAATACCTCCAGACGATAAACTTTTCAATCAGGGCAAGGAAGGTAAAGTGAAGTGAAGTGAAAGAAAACGAGCATGCTCAAAATGATAACGGGAAGAAGGGCTGGGAAATCTCTCGTTCCTGTCAGTGAGCCAAGTGACACGCACGTGAGAAAGGACAATCCAATACAAGGAGACGTTCAAAGTATTTTCTCCTCTTCGGCTGATAGAAAGTTTTGCTGTTACTGCAGACCTGCATACAAGCAGTCATTCAAACCCCAAATCACCAACACCCTTCTGCAAAGACATCAGAAATTCAGTGGTACGTCTCTTTCTCACACAGGGTGCTCACACAATCTTCACACACCAAAAGGTTCAAATCAAACTTGCAGAATTCAGGGAACATAAGAGCGTGTTTAGGGTTTTTTTTGGTCCAAGGGAATTCCTTCTACAAAGAGCAGCAACAAGAAGCTGGAAGGTACAACTGTATCTCACATTGCTTCAGCTCTTCCCAGCACAATCGCACGCTGCCCGCGAACCGCCTGAGCCACCTGCCCACCGCACACCTAGGACGCGCCCAGCGCCTGCTCCTTCTTTCCAGGTTCTCCCTACACACACTACCCCACGAGTCTCTCATTTACACCCACCACTTCTTGACTGCAGGGAGTAGAACACAGTTCAGGTCTAAGTTTATACAACAGGTCCTTCACCTGTTTTATCTTGCAACCTGCTATTTTTATAGGAAAAAAAAAAAAAAGCAGTAACATCCCTTGGTGATCCTGCTCTGGCAGGGCAGCTGGACTAGATGATCTTTCAAGGTCCCTTCCAATCCCTAACATTCTGTGATTCTGTGATTTATTTGCTATTGCTGAGTAGCTGTGCACACACACAGTCTCATTATTTCTTGGACTCTTTGCTCTCAGTGCCTCCTCCTCCTCCCATGCAGAGGAGGTCAGCCCCACATCACCTGGGGGTGAGTGGCCGCACAGCGAGCCACACAGCATCCCCAGGACACGGGCAGGGCACCGGTGCGGACATCCACATGTCCCGAGCTGCCCCCAGTCAGCACAGGCTCCTGGGGAGCCCCAGGACGACCCCGCGACACTGCAGGAGGCTACATCTTAAATTGCCTGATAAGGGTCACTGCTACAGGCATGGCCTTCGTTTACCTTTTTGAGATTAAATGCTTTATTTCCTGCTAGGTGGGGAACTTTGTAGAGTTAAAAGGGTGATTTGCTGAATTCCTTCTGTGTTCTCAACCAGGTTTTACTGTATTTCCTGCGCTGAACTGTGAGATGCTGCTGAACTATGGAACAAACCCAGAAGTAAAGCCAGATCTGCAGATCTCCAACCCCAGCAATCAAAACTTGCCAAATATGTACTGTGGTTAGCAAATAATCTATACTGCTTCTCTTAATGTGGCAGGTGTTCATTAGCCTCGGCCATGAATCACTAAACCAAACACTACATTTTTGCCAAGCTTCGTTCAGGCTCCAGATTTACCTGGAGTGACTCTTTAAGAGCAGCTCTGCGCTGCGGTACAAAGCCCTGTCGTATCTTGATGAAAAGTCCACGACAAGGAACAACTTTCACCGTGCTCAAGTCGCTCCCGAAAGCGCCGTTTCCTTTCGGTACAGTAAACACGCAGCGGCTGTTCGTACAGCCGCCGAGAGAACAGGAACAATAGTGGGAACTTGGCCGGCTCCCAGCACGAGTGACGGGGACGGCAGCACGGGAAAGCAGGAACTGAGTCAAAAGAGCTTTAGGTCAAAATATTCGAGGGGAGGCAGCGAAGTTACCTCTGCTTTGTACAGATAAAGAAAGTTTAAGGAGTCACTTTAGCCTTTTATCGGAAGCGTACTCATGACTTCAGCCTCAGATCAAAGGGGAGGGGGGCAGGGGCAGCCCGTTCCCAGCTCCAGCTGCTCTGAGCCCTGCAGGACACTGTGATTACCCTAAAAAAGAAATAATCACCAGGTCTACAAATGGTTAGACTTAGCAAACAAATCCCCTTGCTGAACGCAAGCCTTCTTGCGCCAGGTTAACCCAGAACGCCCTATTTCATAAAAGCATTTCACGGTAAATTGAACTTAATAGCACACCTATTTATAACAAAGTGTCTGGGATTCTGCAGAATTTCCCTCGCGCGAGCTCCGAAGGCAGGCGAGGACGCGTGGCTGCGGGCCAGCCGCTGGCCTCCCGCGGCCGAACAGCACTCTCTCGCGTTCCCGCGGGGAACGGGCTTCCTCGGCCAGGTTCGTGTCGTCTGCTTTCTCCTAGCAGCGACACAAAAGTTAAAATTCTTCTTTTCCAGCAGCATTCAGGAATTGGGAAAACAACTTTCCCATCAGGTTATTTCCCCGCAGTGGGGAAAACGTTTATTTGTATTCCTTAAGAAGGAAGATTTAGCAGCACAGCAAATAAACCACAGACACTATCCGGGCGTGAGGGATTTTTAAGTCTTTGGAAGAAATCTATGCCTGAAGTGAGACTGCCCCATTATCAAAAGTAGACCCTTTAAGGGAACAGCAGCAGCCACACAGGAAATCCTGGCAGCTCACACGAAGGGAAGCCCCTCTCTGAAAGCAGGGCTAACCACCACCCCGGCACCCAGAGCCATGACTAAGGTTTCCTCCCGTCGCCCACCAAAACGCGACTGCAGGGACGTGCCACAGCAGCAGAGCTATTACAGCGAGCTGCCGCTTCCTTTGGAGTCACCTCATGAAGAGGTATCGAAATCGCTCTTAAAAGGTAACAGCTCAAATCCTGTCAAAACAAACTCTAGATCTCACTTCTCACTTAAATACCCCCATTTTCTTTTGATTTTGTAATTATTGTTTAATGACTATCAGTAAAAAATATGAAGGTTTCTTTAAACCTTTGCAGTGCTGCAGGGTAGCATTTTATTTAAAACATGCCATTTTCTTCTGAATGCTTTCAGGATGTAGCTTTTCTTTGCTTTTTGAACAATGACAAGTGTCAGACTGAGAAGAAACTACTCACCAAGAACAATACCTGGCATGGTCAGGAGACTCGCCACCACTGTCCATACCAGAAGGCCAAAAGGGAGCAACGAATCCCAAGCCCGCTTTGCTTTCAACGGTGTATCCCAGTGTTATACATAACCCAGAGCTGCAAGATTTGCAAGACATTCTCTGCTCCTGACAGGACACCGCTCTCCCACGGGCTTTTCGGACCTTCACGTTGTTAAAGTGGAGCCAGGGTCACCCTTACACTGCATCTACAAGGTTTTCATGTTTTCAAGGTATCTTCAGCCACGCACTTGCCCCAGATGCTTTTCCTGACATTAGTGGGAACTAATGAAACCAGCCATCTTAGGAGACATCAGGATTTATGCATCCACATGTGCCACAGGGAGATCCAGCCCAGGCCAACATCTGGGTGTCGAGAGAAAGGACAGGTATGCACCAGTTCCCAGCGCTCTCAGGGAACGAGGTGCCCTGGGACAGCTCTTCAGCCGTCTGCTCTCACCTACTGGCCTCATGTCTTCTCTGACCGAAGGGCAATCACAGAGCTCTCCGTCGAGCCTCCAGATGTTGATTGCTGATCACCACAGCAGCACAGCTGGAGGCCCAGTCAGCACTGGGTCCCTCGCTAACCATCAAACCCGCCAGGACCATTCTGAAAGGGGCTCAGCAGAAGCAACCAGCAAAGTCACAGCTGGTTCCTGACCAAGGTACTAAAATTTGCTGCGAGCACAGTCTGTGTCCCGACACCAACCCTCTTCTCCCCACGAGTACCGCAGTACCTGCCCAAAGCCAGCCAGGGCTCTTCCTTTGGCACCTACTCTGGAAAAGGTCCAGAGGTTTCTTATCTGTTGCCTGGCCTCCACTCACCCAGCTGGTTTATGTTACCTGGTCCTACTTGTGACACGGACCATTGTTTATCGATGTGCTCCTTCAGTAGCCTCAGATACATCAAAAAAAGAGATTGCATCATCAACATTGCAGCATCCCACAAAACATCCCAGGGCAGCGCAAGAATTGCTCACACCTCTGAGGTGGCCAAGGACAGGAACAGAACCAGCTCAGAGCGTCCCACCAGTGGCTGTGCCCACAAGCAAGCCAAAAAAAGCCAGTTATCGGACAAAGGGCATTACAGAGGAACAGGAAACCTCATTTCTGTGGCTTTGTACCTGGTGTGCTCATCAACCCAACAGCGTGACTGATGCAAGGAGCTGGACAACAAGCTACTGAGCTGCACTTAAAAGACTTCTTATGCAAGCCAGACCTAAAGTTGTCTTGTATCAGCTGCAGTGAAGCTCCTCACCAGCTGGAAAAGGGACGATGAATACCCCAGGTACCCTGAAAAATACTCAAATACAACAAATACAGCACAGGGTCACTGAAAGACTGCCACTTCAATACGTAATTCCAATAATTAACCACTCAAAGATGATGCAAAGATCCCAGCTAAGAGGCAGGGCAGAGAAGGAAGTGGTGACGTGGGACAGAGAGCTGTGATTCAGTCTCTGGATTTCAGCTGAACTATAGGCAGCCACAACGCACCGAGATCAGCATGCAGGGCTCTGCTCTCTGCTCACCTGAGCATTTCCCTGCAGGCATCCAGAGAAAAAATACAGCCTGTAACTGAAAACACAGCTAAAAGTAACTCAGTAGTACGTTTGGATTGCAGGTTGATGGAAAAGGCAGCAAGAGGAGCCAGTGCTGACATCAGCTGGATGAAAAGCCAGCCCCGACAGTGCCAGGAAGGGCATCACAGGAGAACAGAGGCTGAGCCGGGCCCTGACCACAGGCGGTCCTGGCAAGGGCTGCGGACAGACCTAAGAGGCAGACTGGACCCTTCTACCAGCGAACAACCTGTGTTGTACACCACACAGGTTGTATCTCGCACCGTCTATAATCTGAACGGTCAGAACCAAAGGAGGTTCAATACAGTGCCACAAAGATACAAACCCACCAGCTTTCAAGAAGTTTCTCCCAACAACGAGCACATTTAAAGTATTGAGAGACAATTTACGGAGAGTGAACCGAACAGAGTGGTATCTAAGAGTCCAGCTCTTCCCTCTCTCAAAGAAACATCAACTAATTAGACCAAACCCAGGCTGCCTAATCACACCAGCCAGGATCTTTTGGAGTCCTGAACACCCATCCTAAAGACTCATAAAAGCCTTATGCAGCAATCTGCAAGGCACTCTTAGTTTTCCTCCTTTATTATGCTTTTTTGTTGCTGCCTGTTGATGAGTTGCAGCAATAGCTCTCAGCAGCTCCCATTAGTCACCAAGAAGTCCAACGCTCAGTCTTCTTCCCTAGGAACCCGTCCCTCAGTAAGCCCCGTTTCAGTGCTTTGCAAAAACCCCAAGCAAGAGTGAGGATCCCGTGGGATGCCTCGCTGAGAGTGCAAACAATCCAGGTGGGACAAGCTAGCTCTTGTCATTATGACTGCCCCGGCTGAAAAGGGAGCTCAGGGCTGAATTACCGGCCAGAGCTCTGCCTGCACCCGACACAACCTGCCGAGCAAAACATTTGGCTGGGCACAAAGGCCACTTCCCAGAAACTTCGGAGCTGTGACTCAACAGCCCTGATTACAGACTTCTTGGTGGTCAGTCATCATTTCATACATACTCAGGCAGACCAGAAGCTATGCCGTGCTCAAAAAACACCAGGAGGATTTCTTCTGACAACTTCCCTGCACGTCGCAAGGACACATCCCGCGTTCAAAGGTCAGGAGAGGAATCAGCAGGTCATTAGCAGGGAGCTGGCACTGAGCGCCTCCACTGGTGTCCAACAACTCCACCACTGCACAGGAGTAAGATAAGCACACAGCAGAGAGATGCAACCTATCAATAACCTCAAACAGTAGCTTTAAAAATGGATTTTCATCATTTTAATTAAGAGTTACAGCTTCGTCAGGTTTATCCACCTAATGAATAAAGTATCTTAGTTGCCCAAGGTAGATTAAATAACTCAACACAAAGCTTGACAACTAACCCCGTCATCTCTGGTTACTCCTCATGATAAATAGAGAGAGCTGATAAAATATCTCCTTAGGAGCCTTCAGCTGGAACAGCAACACAGAAAGGGACTTTTTCCTTAAAATTTCGTCTTTAATATTTTTAATAACACAATATCACGATTTTGGTGTAATTACACAGGAGAGCATACCCTAAGGAGGGTGCCTAAGAAGCACTTCAAGGCCTCTAAAAGAGCACACAAGCACAGAAAACATAACACACCTGTCCTGTCACAGACTAGAGCTGCACAACATCAGATACCAGCCCAGTGATCCGGGCTGATCCAAAAGTTTGGCTTTGTTTCCTTCCCCCTGGCTTTATGGAAAATCACCAGCTACATGTGAAAGCAAAAGTATTTGGGGATCTCTTGCAGACCTCTCACACTGGCAAGCCACAAAGAACATCCACCCCCTCGGCATGCTGAGGTTTGATGCATCATGTCGATTTTTTAACATGCAACTTAAAGAAAGCTTGCCTCTTAAAAAATGAGCTAAACAAATAAAGTAAAAACCACACAACTGAAGAAATGTCGCCAGACTTACATGTTTTACAGTACTAGTCTCCAAAAGGAAAAGATTTTTAAGAAAATGCCCAGTTCCTCACATACTGTTTTGTCTCCCAGCTGCAAAAAATCTCCAGTAGCAATCTCACTGCCCTCCTGATCAAAGCACATACAAGACAAGGATCGTAAAATCAAACTCTGAGGGAAGCCAACTCTTTGCTACAGTTTAAAAATGTGTTAGCAAGTACCCAACATTAAAAGGATTAAAGTGTCAGCGCCGATTACGTGCTGAATGTACAGCCAAAAAAATTGAGATTAATGCAGACAATACCACAAACAAATGAAAACTGATCTGTAATTAGTACAGAAGAAATTAAAGAATTAAGTAATTAGGTTCAAAGTAAAATAGTATCTATTCATAAAGGCTTTAAAAATCAAATTTGTTGTTTATAAATGTGAAAATATCGGACAAATAGCAAGCACTGTGCAAAAGACACCCCTCCAAGCTGGCAGAGCAGCACAGTAACAGCAGCCTGTAAAAAGAGCTTTTCATTGAAGAGGGCCTTAAGGATTGTTTGAAGAGGAAGTGCTCACCAAGAGAAGTGAACCTATTAACACAGTCAAATTAAAACTAAGTAAGGAGTTGGAAAAACACATTCTAAAGCCCTTAGTACTGGCCATTTTACCTCACCAGCAGGCAGCAGCTCGAGCTGGCAGCAGGGGACCGAGTGCTGCTGGAAGCAGCAGGAGCTCCAGAGCCCAGGGACAGCTTCGAAAAA